ACCAAGCCCTGTCACTGACTTGTGTAATGGTGGGATTATATAAGTCTGGCCACCAAGCCCTGTCACTGACTTGTGTAATGGTGGGATTATATAAGTCTGGCTACCGAGCCCTGTCACTGACCTGTGTAATGGTGGGATTATATGAGTCTGGCCACCCAGCCCTGTCACTGACTTGTGTAATGGTGGGATTATATAAGTCTGGCTACCGTGCCTTGTCACTGACTTGTGTAATAGTGGAGTTATATAAGTCTGACTACTAAGCCCTGACACTGACTTGTGTAATAGTGGAGTTATATAAGGATTATATAAGTCTGACTACCAAGCCCTGCCACTGAATTGTGTAATGGTGGGATTATATAAGTCTGGCTACCAAGCCATGTCACTGACTTGTGTAATGGTGGGGTTATATAAGTCTGGCCACCAAGCCCTGTCACTGACTTGTGTAATGGTGGGATTATAGAAGTCTGGCTACCGAGCCTTGTTACTGACCTGTGTAATGGAAGGATTATATAAGTCTGACTACCAAGCCCTGACACTGAATTGTGTAATGGTGGGATTATAAAAGTCTGACTACCAAGCCCTGACACTGACATGTGCAATGGTGGGATAATATAAGTCTGGGTACCAAGCCCTGTCACTGACTTGTGTAATGTTGGGATTATATAAGTCTGGCCACCAAGCCCTGTCACTGACTTGTGTAATGTTGGGATTATATAAGTCTGGCCACCAAGCCCTGTCACTGACTTGGGTAATGGATGGATTATATAAGTCTCGGTACCTAGCCCTGACACTGACCTGTGTAATGGTGGAGTTATAGAAGTCTGCCTACCAAGCCCTGACACTGACTTGTGTAATGGAGGGATTATATAGGTCTGGCCACCAAGCCCTGTCACTGACTTGTGTAATGGTGGGATTATATAAGTCTGACTACCAAGCCCTGTCACTGACTTGTGTAATGGATGGATTATATAAGTCTCGGTACCAAGCCCTGACACTGACCTGTGTAATGGTGGGGTTATACAAGTCTGGCTACCAAGCCCTGACACTGACTTGTGTAATGGTGGGATTATACAAGTCTGGCTAATAAACCCTGTCACTGACTTGTGTAATGCACACTTGTAAAGGATCTGACACAGGAATAATACATTTAAATTTGTTTCAATACTGGTTAGATTTTATCAAAACTGAGAATATACCTACACGTGTATTTATACGTCCTCTATTCATTGGCTCGTCATTCAGATACACCGCACTTAGTGCTGCACGTCCGGGTGATTCTCAGGTATTTCCACATTTACCGACTTCCTTGTTGTCGTAAATGAAAAACAAAATATTAACAAAACGTGGCGTCTTGTTATTTATAGGGTAGACCTATTTCATCCATATAGGTCGAAACGGATACGTATAATGTAAACACGTCCACAGGTATTGTCCTCTTCATTATGATAGTGAGGGCACATCGCTTTGCGGACACTTTTAAAACTGAATTTATACATATTTATCTGCAATTAGCATTATTTTCCTTGATGCGTAAAGTTTGCTTCATAACGTGTCAAAATTAAAAATAAACGAAAAATCTTCTCATTTGTGTTGAATTTGTATTTCTGCTCTGAGTAATTTCTGGTTACAGTCGCGTTTGTAATAATGACTAGTTATAGTGTTGCCCGGTTTTACTGACTTCTACATTTGGTAACTGTTAACGTAAAAACAAATATAAAGTAAAGAAACAATTTGATCTTTATAAAGACTACGTTTAAGGTATTTCATACAGCGTCATGTCAGTTTATAAAGTTGGAAATGGGCTCATAACTTTCCTCAAAATGAAAAAAAGTGTGGAAGTTGCTTGATATACCCATGTCAAGAACAATGTCAAAAATTACCTTTGCAGAAATTATTTGTCGAAAATATTGTTGATTTTGTACGAAAAGTAACTTTTGAATGCAGAATTCGAGTGACGCAAAATTGCACTGAATATTATAATTCATGAAAAAACTTACCTATGCATGCATTCCTGAAGAATCCGTGTATTCACTATTATCGAGTAAAATGTAAGAAAAATGCTTCAAATCTCATGAATGATGACATGTATTTTCATTGGATATTTTACAATAATTCATGAAGCTAACAAGGCTATTGACACAAGCCAGATTACCTAAATGAAAACCTGTAGTAATTTGAATGGTGTACAAGTAAAATCTTACTTGCATTGCATGCTTTATTCCAAGCTCAGTCAGCCTTGTTGGCTTTGTGCTTAGTTGTGATGTATTCCGTGGAAACAGCCACTGTATGACCCTGTATAAAATACCTTAAAAGGAAACGATCGTCACGATTGGAAATCGTTTCGGGAAAATTGTTGAATTACATTGCAGATCCGGTTCCGATTGCTTTTAATATAATTGAACCAACGGTAGCTTACAAGGCCCTCTAGAGTCGCTCGCCTAAAAGGCAGCAGTTTTTTGAGCGCGGCAACCACTAGCTTACCTGTGCTGATCAGGATGGAGACTGCAATGCAACGTCTGGTGGATGTAACCGTTCTGCTGTTGGTGGGTTTAGGTGAGTATCAAAGTAGGGCACTTCATTATTTAATAAATTGAACGCTTTCAAAATGTGAAAATAGCAGTTACATAACCTCGGATCATTTAACATATAGAACAGTACTGATACCTGTTAGAATTGAAAAGGCATACACGTACAGTCAATGGCCCGACTCTAAATCAACAACATATGATGTTTGATGTATCAACGTGTAAATATGATACGCTATACAATTTTCAAAAATCTGCAAGATATATAATTTACCAAATAAAAGTCTATTGAAGAACAGAAGTTGAATTGCCTTGAAATGATATAAAACTCTAAACATGATATGTCTACCTACCCTGAAGCCGATGTCTCATTTTGCTGTTTGAAAACATGTACCTTAATGGTATTATACGACATTGTGCATATCTGGTTAATCAGGAAATATTTTTAAAAATACCATAATATAACAACATTATATTTTATTGCAATATCAAACTCTACGAAACCATGCACAAGTAAACATTTTATTATAATAGTATTCACTACAAAACCATGCACAATTACTCATTTTATCACAATATTATACTCTACCACATCGTGGAAAAGTACATATGTAACACTTATCATACCTTAGCAAATCGTGTACAAGTACCGTTATCACAATCAAATACTCTACCGAACCCTGGACAAGTACATTTATCACAATCTAATACTCTACAGAACCCTGGCCAAGTACATTTATCACAATCTAATACTCTACCTAACCCTGGACAAGTGCATTTATAACAATATGATACTGTAACGAACCCTGAACAAGTACATTATAACAATATGATACTGTACCGAACCCTGGACAAATACATTTATCTCAATATCAACTCAACCGAACCCTGGACAAGTACATTGATCTCAATATTAAACTCTACCGAACCCTGGACAAGTACATTTATAACAATAGTATACTCTACCAAACCCTGGACAAGTACATTTATCACAATATTAAATTGTACCAAATCCTGAACAAGTACATTTATCTCAATATTAAACTCAACCAAACACTGGACAAGTACATTTATCTTAATATTAAACTCAACCAAATCCTGGACAAGTACATTTATCACAATATTATATTCTACCAACCACTGGACAAGTACATTTATAACAATATAATATTGTACCGAACCCTGGACAAGTACGTTTATCACAATATTATATTGTACCAAATCCTGGACAAGTACATTTATAACAATAGTATACTCTACCAAACCCTGGACAAGTACATTTATAACAATATGATACTGTACCAAATGCTGGACAAGTACATTTATAACAATATGAAATTGTACAAAATCATGACAAAGTACATTTATCTAAATAGTAAACTCAACCGAACCCTGGACAAGTACTTTTATAACAATATTATACTTTACCAAATCCTGGACAAATACATTCATCTCATTATTATACTCTACCAAACCCTGGACAAGTACATTTATCACATTATTATATTCTACCAAACCCTGGACAAGTACATTTATCACAATATTAAACTCTACCAAACCCTGGACAAGTACATTTATCACAATATTATATTCTACCAAACACTGGACAAGAACATTTATAACAATATGATACTGTACCAAATCCTGGACAAGGACATTTATCACATTATTATACTCTACCGAACCCTGGACAAGTACATTTATCACAATATTATATTGTACTAAATCCTGGACAAGGACATTTATCTCAATAGTAAACTCAACCGAACCCTGGACAATTACTTTTATAACAATATGATACTGTACCAAATCCTGCACAAGTACATTTATCTCAATAGTAAACTCAACCGAACCCTGGACAAGTACTTGTATAACAATATTATACTTTACCAAATCCTGGACAAATACATTCATCTCATTATTATAATCTACCAAACCCTGGACAAGTACATTTATCACATTATTATATTCTACCAAACCCTGGCCAAGTACATTTATCACAATATTAAACTCTACCAAACCCGGGACAAGTACATTTATCACAATATTATATTCTACCAAACACTGGACAAGTACATTGATAACAATATGATACTGTACCAAATCCTGGACAAGTACATTTATCACATTATTATACTCTACCGAACCCTGGACAAGTACATTTATCACAATATTATATTCTACCAAACAATGGACAAGTACATTTATAACAATATGATACTGTACCAAATCCTGGACAAGTACATTTATCACATTATTATACTCTACCGAACCCTGGACAAGTACATTTATCACAATATTTTATACATTATTATACTCTACGGAATCATGCACAATTCCATGCACAATAACACATTTAATTATACTAATTGTCTCTACCAAACAATCCACAATCTAAGAGATCTAATCGGAGTAAATAGAGACCATTTTTTCTCTTTAGTCAACATCGCAATGCTTCCCTGTGTGTATTTATTATATGTAATACTTGCTGAACCGGATCCAATAGCATAACAATCATATTTCTCATATATATGATATGTTCACCACAAATACTACAATTATATAACCATACTCAAATGTTCACAGCCACTGCTACAAACATATAATATTTACGTTTACAGCCACTAATATAATATAATACTTAATAGTTCAAGTCCTCTCCTTGTAATAATTTCGTGTTGTTTATATTTTCCTTTTGATATAAACAGCTGCTCTACCTGAGGGGGCATTGCCGTTATTATAACATTTACACTTTTGATGTTTACAGCTACACTTCAGGAGTGGTCTTTGCTGTTGTTATTATAATTGTATTTATGATGTTGACAGCTACTCCATC